TGGTTTTTTGGTTTCGACTCATTAGAAAAGCACCACTCTGAAACTTGTTGGCTCTTTTGCAAACTCGTAAACCCATGTCTCGTCACCCGTTATGATGCATTGCAGGAATGTAGAGTCAAGCATGTCTTCAGCAACATCTTTGCAATGCTCATTTTGAAGAAATTTCAGCTCTTTCAGAACTAGCCGTGTTGCATCGCATTTCATACCCAAACATCAACTAAAATAGTGCGAAATGATTCGTGAGATATGTTTAGTTCACATGCCTGCTCTCTCAAACTATAACGACCGTTTGCAAGCACCATTTCCTTCACTTTAACGATGTTTTCTTAAGTTGAAGACGTTGAAGGGCGACTAGAATGTGACAATTTCTCGACAATGTTTGAATGCTTTGTACCATTGGCATGCTTGAGTTTTCAATAAAACTGAATTACCCTATGTATTTTCAATACGATCCAGCACAAGAATTAAATCTACTTTTGCGTGGAATTTTTAAATGACAAATTACGGATACATTTTTGACATAATCTACTAAATTACAAAATTTTATCCTACAATACAAATATTTGAAAATGAATTTTTTTACAGAGAAATATTTCATTTTTTGACCTAAAATTCATCTAGTATTACACTAACAATAATTTAAAGTAAATTATTATGTTCATCCATAAAATACGTTGGTATCTAAAAAGGTATCTAAAAATTATTTGTACAGTGTCCCTTATCTTTTTCACTTTTCTATATAGAAAAAAATGGTAAAAACCAACGTTTTGGGATTTGTTTTGAAATCTCAAAGAAATATGTCAAAAAACTATTGAATACTGTATTTTAAAGACATAAACCAAACCTTTTTTGTTTCTTTATATTGGAACACCTTGAATAATATTTTGTATTTTTTTATTAATTGACCGTCTTTAATAGATAAAGTTAATATTGCCTTGGAAGCAAATACATATTTACCTATTCTTTCCGCTATTTAATTACATTTTATTGAGAAAATTATGCTGTACCTACTTTGCAAGGTATGTATGTTCCAGAAAAAGTTTTTTTAAATAATTTGACATTGTTAACAGTTTTAGAGAAGTTACGCCGACCGCGGACAGAGGGCAGTGCGATCAGCGTCGTCAAATCTAAAAAAGCATGCCTTAAAAGGAAGTAAAAGAAAAAGTGTAATAAAGTTAAGTGTTACTTAAACTGTTAGTAGGTTACAGTCCGCACAATATTTGTTGAGATAGAATTCCAAGAAGACTTCTGCGTCACTTTCTTGGAATTAACCGCATTCAACATCCGAGATAGAAAGACATTGGTGGCGTGGCGCAGTAGTTCCGATAAAAGAACTTTATTGGCTCATTCTTTTCTTCGAATTCTATCTCAACAAATATTTTGACCAAATGTACAGGTATTTCGATAAATCGCAAGAAAATTTTCTAAAACTTTGATTTTTACAATTCTTTCCTACATAGAAAGTCGAAAAAGATAAGTAAGGTAGTGAAGTAGATGACCTTGTACATTTAAGGTGGCCATATCCCTGGCCGAGAAATCGTCAAATTTCTGGCGTTTTTAGGTACTGAAATCTTGAAAAGTAAACACGTAGAACAAAAGTAAGCACAAAAATAAAATCCTTGATGTTCTGTTTATTCATTGTTACTATTTAAATTTACTTAAATAAAATAATAACTAAAAAAAGCGTTTGTAATACATGCGTTTGCTTCTAACCCCACATTTTAAGAATTATTTTCACTTACTTATAAATAAAAGTACCTAAGACCTTGATGGTTTGATCGTTTTTTGCACCTGTTTATTCGTTTTACTGCGGCGTCTTTGAAAATACTCAGATGACATGACATAACATTCCTATTATTTGATAAGCTTTAGATTATTCAGTTATTGAATGTTTGAAATTATTTGTCTTTGTGGAAAACACTATTTAAATAATACGGCGCCCTTAATATATCGTTTTCCTTATATGTGACATATGTAATGAGTTTTTTAAACCATATTTTTTAACATAGTTTACGATATAGTTTTTTTTACAAGCTATGAATAATTGTAAGGAACTAGTAATTGTTTATTTTCTCGGTATATTTAGATATCAGTAGTAAATTTAATTGGAACAGATTTTTTTGCTAAAATACCTCATTAAACTCAAATTAATTTGGAGCCTATGTATTTCCGTCAAAGCTGCCACATATAAAACACACATATTTTTTTATGCACTTTATATCTTTCTGCATGTTGCTGAAACTCGTGCATTTTATTTGTTTATATTGCATTATAAATTTCTTCACAACTTCAAGTTAGAGTAACATATTAATTTCTAAATTGATGAACTTTAACCATCTCGTAAAACTATTTGGTGGTCTACTGTTACAAGAACTTCGCTAGGATGTTCTTAAATTTGCGCATAGTAGACTTATGATTAACCATCGTGCGTTAATCAGATGATTTTAAATTTAGACATCATCCTGTGCCAACTTTTTGGTACATTAGGTTAATAACCTAGATTTGGACAGATCTCATTTTCAATTTTTCATAAAATTAATTATAACAAATATTTTTTTAGAAAATAATATTACTGACAATCGATGTATTTGTTGTCATGAAATACAACTTTTTCACTATATATCCGGAATTTACTGCACACCGTACAGGGTGATCAGATGACAACTGGTTCACTCCCTCCCCTATGACCTCTGTTATACTAGCTGAACACATTTTTACCAACAGTACACAGATGTAGGTTTGGGGGGGGGGGGGCTACCCCTAGAAATTGTTGTTTATTTTACAATGTTATCTAGATAATCAAAAAGATTAACCTTATGAAATGCATTAAAAAGGAAGTGTTAAATTTATGATGTGTCGTTAATTTAACTCGACTCGCAAAATTCATTTGATATACACAAAATACGTGGGTTCCTCCACTCGCCCCTAAATCTGTAAGTGTTTACAGCGATGGTCATGGTTACCGTCGCGCAACAGTGAAAAATGGAGTGGGGGTAGCGTATATTTACTATGTAGTTTCTACGGATTGTTTTTGTGTGTTTTTTAAAAGATAGTAAAAGTTTAAATTATATTATAAACAGACTAACAGCACTTGCAATGCTATCTATTAAAAAAAAACAGTGGTGCGAGATATAGCAAACTTTATTAAAAAAGTAACTGAAAAGTTTATTTTATAACAAAAGAAAATAATGGACTTTCATTATTTTGTTTTTCATATTTTAATAGTAGGTACTTAAAATAAAACCCCATTATATTTGGATTTTTCTTTTCAATACTTTGTACCTAAAGTTTTACTTGAAAGAACTGAGTCGTGTCGGAAACAATTCGCCAGCAGGGAATTTTGCTAACATCCTGTACCAAATTTTCAATATGCTAACCATGCTCCTGTGTTCAGGAAAACTACGAGAATTTTGAACATTCACTGTAATTTAAATAAAACAACTTATACAGAAAGAAAATTTTACACACAAGTATTGAAAATTATTTGATGTTGATAACTATTAAATGTTAAATTAAAAATTTCTTTTTTTTTTATTAACGTCTGGCGTTTTTCAATGTAAAATCATAATTTCCCTAAAATGTATCTGAATTTTCGATTTTCTTGTCAGATTATCACTCAGAAGGGTTTGAGGCATTCATTTGAGTAAACAATTTTTACATTGGTTGCTTTGCTACGTCGTTTTATGTAGACATCTTGAGATGACGTCTGAGTTCTCTCAAAACTCTAAGATATGACATGAAGTAAGAAGATCTTTTTTTACTATAATTTGGATTACATCTGATGAAAATGATAAAGCTGCACAGCGAAGGGTAATGGTAAATTGGATCATATCAAGTTAGATCCAGTAGGGAAGTAATTTTCCTAGTTACACAAATATCTTAGATATAATTCGTACCTCTAAAAAGTACATACCTACTTATCTCTTCTTCTTTTGACAGAAAATTAACCAAAAAAACGATATGGTTATTAATCTGTGTTTAAAACAAGAACGCATTTCTTTTTTTGTGGCAAATATTTAAGTTATCTCACCTACTTTTATTGAAGTGATATTACTATCCGTTTGTAATATAAATGATGATGATAATTTCTCCGAGATATATTCATGTGGGTTGTTAACCGAAATACTTCAATTTTATGAATCTGAATACATTAATCTAGTATAAAATTAGAACGAGTTTAGTATAAACAAACAATTATATGTTATTTTTTTTAGGAATCTATTTGATATACGGTCCCATTTTATAAGACTATTAATGTGGTACAGAATGATTCGTCTGCTGAATCGGACAAAGTACATGCAGTGCCTTGTTTTGATAAAATTATGTAACAGTTGCTATTCTCGTATCGCAAATAGGAATTTTTGGATCCCATCCTAAATATATGTAATAGCGAAAAGTATTTTAGGGTTTATATATTTATATCTCGCGTACATTAATAGAAGAACTATATTTAGTTATACAACATGGTATGAAATAAAGTTACTAACATTATTCTAGTATATGTAGGATAAGTAGATAAGGTTTACTGAATTTGATTTAATTCATTCACATGATGGTCAGAAATAACAAAATACTCTTTAAAGTGTTCTAAACGCTCTCTATGTTTTAGACAATACAGAAAGAATCTTATCTTAAAGTTTTAAATAAAAAAAACTTTGGAGGTCGACAACTTTCTTAATACAAAATTGTACTGAGGTAACTTGATCGTCATGGGTTTATTTTAATCCAAGAATTTTTCTTATTTCCAATTTTTCAATTCAATTCAATTTTTGCAAAAGTAGTTTCGAATGGAAAAGAAAAATCAAAAGGATTACACAGCCCCACAAAAATGTCTACTGGCACAAAACAGTGTACCTCATTCTGATCAGTTTGCTTATACTGAAGAAAAATAAATTCGAAACTGGTAATTCTTTTGACGAATGATCATAACTATTTATCAGATACTGAGGGTGTAATTTAATACTATGTGGGGTATATATCGATTCATAAACTAAAACATGTATATTTTAACATTTATTAATATCATTAAATACATTTAGGGGCTAGGTTTACTACTGCTACTAACATTAGACTCATCAACATTCATAGGTTCATCGGTTTTAACTTCTTTATTATTATTGACTTCTTTGACACCTTCTGCTTTTGTGTCTTCCTTCTTTGGTTTCGAAATTGTTTCATCGTTACCCGTACTAGGATTATCTGGGACCGTTTTTGGTTCTGGACTAACATATCCTGTGACGTCAACATTACTGTTGGTTTGCAAATTGAGATAAATCGGTCCACCATCTTCCTGCTCTAACTTTGCCTCACACGTATCTTCGCGTTTAGTGATATCACCTTCAGGCCTAAGCGGCATGGCCTCATCTGATACATTTTTCTCTTTGGTATCCTTACTTTTGTCCGAACTTTCACTGCCCTCGTCCAATTCTGGTATGTTGCCCAAGTCAGGTAAGGTATCTTCACTGGGAGTAATGATGTTTTCCATTAATTCTGTGTCAATCTTTCCTTCTTCGATTTCGAATGCTTTGCGACTTAATTCTTCGTCTACTTGGTTTTCTATATTTTTCATTTCCTCATTGCTTAAAAGTTTAATGCTTTCCTTGACCCACGGTTTGTTTAATTCTTCGTTTAGTTTATTTACAAATTGCTTTATTTTGTTTAAGGTGTACACAGACCGAATTTGGATGTTTTCGATGAGATCGTCATTAAGAGTTTCTATAATAAATAAAAATTCCCTAAAAATTAAGGATATGACTCCTTCTATGTAGGTCGGGTGATTCTTCAGAATAGCGTCTTCTTTAACGGAGAATATGTCACAGTTATTGTCAACTTTCAGCACATCCATAGTTTCTCCAGCATACAGATCAATGGTATCGTTCTTGAAATCACATATATACTCATTCAGTGCGAGTATATCTTTATATTTCTGATCCTCTAGTTTTTTGTTCAGCTTTTCAAGCATAATGGATATCTTTGCTAGTATTTTTATGGCGCCTTTCTTCACTTCGCTGTTTGTACTTACAGCAAGTATTTTCAAATCCTTCAGGTATTTATCACCACTCTCACTGCTACTGCAATCTAGGGACGGACTGATCAATTCCATTATACCAAACATGGGTACGAATCTGTACAAATACCTGCAGTCTTTTGTGAACATGTTGAAGTATGGTATGATATTTTCGGAGGTCCAACTGATTCCATACTGTTTCGCTAATAGAGGTAATATTATAGGTGCTGTTCTTCGTATGGCGAAGACTGGGTCTCCTAGTAAAGCCGCGTAGAAGATTTTTAAATTTTCCGCAAAATATTCTTTGGAAGAAAACTTTGCGATGTGCATAAATGCCACGAAGATGCTCCTCCTCGTCCTCCAATGCGACTGTGAATTAATAATAAGTGACCTAACGACATTCTTAATGGAATGCATTGATAATGTTAGGTCTACATTGGTGGGCAAGCAGTTCAAATTCTGCAACATGTTGGCTTGGATGGGCATGGAAGTCTCGTTCTCCAGAACATCCACCAGCAAAGGCAGAATATTCTTCCGGAAACATTCTTCTCTGAGGAGCGAACTTAAAGCCAGGATATTTGAAGACAAGGCCAGTTTGACTTCATGACTTGGATCGTTTATAAGAAGATGAATTTGGGGCATAACGCTCTGCTGGAAAACTGGTTCGAAGTTGTCTTCGAATTTCGGCTGGTTCTTATACGTTTCCTGTAAATTTTTGGAGTAGTCGAAGAGATTTTTCGCTACCACTATCCGGACTTCTGGTTCCGTATCTTTGACGAGTTTCTGGAACAGTGCCAAAATTTTCCCCCTTGTTTTACCGAATGGGATTACTCGTTGTAACTCCGCTATGTAGTATGCTAGTCGCTGTCGGATTCTCCAAGAAGGATTGTCTAAAAATATATGTATTAAATGTAAACGCAAATATTTTACACATTTCAACAGTACCATTTATAAGGGAGATGCACATATACAGGGTGGGCCACCAGTAACGCCTCGGTCTAGGGACTAAACGGCAAATGTTACAGAAACCTGTTTAAGTGGATATGTGTAGGTTGATTACGGCTACATTTTAAAAATATTTTGAAATATACAGGGTGTGCAGGAAAAGCGTACCATATCAAAGTTATGTTTTTTTAAATGGAACACCCTGTATTTTACTGCATTTTTGAAAGCACCGTAAAAAAATAGGTGAACTTTATTAAAGGTTCTGCATACCTAGGACTTACAGTTTGTGAGATATTTCAATTTTAGTGAAAATGCAGGCATAGCGTAGAAATTTAATATTAGCAATAAAAAAATAATTTTAAGGAAGCAGCTTTGGAGGGTCTATTTTAGATCCTTGAAGTTATAAATTGTTATATTTGTCGTCACTTAGTATTATACAGGGTGTTCAAAAAACTGCTGAATACTTCTCTCAACTTTAAACAGCAATAACTTGGTTATTTTAAATGGAACACCCAGTATATTTTTACTTTGGGAGTTGGGAAATTTAAAACTCTTTCAAACTGTGTATAGGTTCCCTATACCTATCTCTAACGGTATTGGAGATATTTGTGCCGTTTCGTTTTTTATCGATTTTTTTTGTAAGATGTATCCACGTGTCTTTATCGAGGTCTTTACTGAATTGATTTGGGTTCTTCTTGATGACGTCTCTTTAAATATATTGAGAAAAATGAGGATGCAATTAGATGGCGCACCTGCAAATTTTTCATATTCAGTGAGAAATTATTTAAATCGAAAATTTAGTAACAAATGGATAAGTAGGAATGGTGCATGTCAGTGGCCACGTAGGAGTCCAGACCTCACCGTAATGGACTTATTTGTTGCGAGCTATATAAAAAATCTTGTACACAATGTTCCACCTACTACTTGCGATGATATTGAAGGGAAGGATTAGAGATGCATTTGCGTGAGAATATAATTTGAAGATAGAATAAGATGTATTCAAGAGAATGGTTATCAATTCGAACATCAATTAAAATTTTTCTTTGTTTCTTCTAAAAGTAAAATTTCCTTTTATCATAATCATGACAATATTAAAAAAAGTTTTCTAATAAAAAATATTATTTTATAAGCAGAATAATTATAAAAAGTTATTAATTTTGTATATGTTTGTAGTAAGTAACTGAATTATTTATGAGCATGAAAAATATTTATTAAAGAAAATTTTAGTTTTAGAAGAAACAAAGAAAAATCTTAATAGATGTTCGAATTGATAACTATTCTCTTGAATACAGCATCTTATTCTATCTTCAAATGATATTCACACATTCCTTCGAATATTTGGGGTGATTGTAGAAAATGCATCTCTAATCCTTCCCTTCACATCATCGCAAGTAGTAGGTGTACAAGATTTTCTAGATAGCCCGAAACAAAGAAGTTCATTACGGGAGGTTTGGACACCTAGGTAGCCACAGACATGGATCATTCCTACCTATTCATTTATTACTAAATTTTCGATTTACATAATTTCTCACTGAATATGAAAAGTGTGCAGGTGCGCCATCTAATTGCATTGACATTTTTCTCCTTATATTTAAAGAGACGTCATCAAGAAGAACCCAAACTAATTCAAAAGACCTCGATAAAGTCACGTGGATACATCTTACAAAAAAATTCGATAAAAACGAAATGGCACAAATATCTCCAATACCGTTAGAGATAGGTATAGGGAACCTATACACAGTTTGAAAGAGTTTTAAATTAATTTCCTAACTCCGAAAATAAAAATATACTGGGTGTCCCATTTAAAATAACCTAGTTATTGCTGTTTAAAGTTGAGAGAAGTATTCAGCAGTTTTTTGAACACCCTATATAATACTAAGTGACGACAAATACAACAATTTATAACTTCAAGGATCTAAAATAGACCCCCAAAGCTGCTTCCTTAAAATTATTTTTTTATTGCTAATATTAAATTTCTACGTTATGCCTGCATTTTCATTAAAATGAAATATCCCACAAACTGTAAGTCCTAGGTATGCAGAACCTTTAATAAAGTTCACCTATTTTTTTACGGTGCTTTCAAAAATGCAGTAAAATACAGGGTGTTCCATTTAAAAATACATAACTTTGATATGCTACGCTTTTCCTGCACACCCTGTATATTTCAAAATATTTTTAAAATGTAGCCGTAATCAACCTACGCATATCCACCTAAACAGGTTTCTTTAACATTTGCCGTTTGGTCCCTAGCGACCGAGGCGTTACTGGTGGTCCACCCTGTACATTTGAGTGTAACGCAAATTCTAACGATCCATGATCTAACGTTTCTATATTTCAATTTTATTAAGCTTCTTAAAAGATCTATAGGACAAAATAAATTTTGGGCTCTATTTGCAACTATTTTGGTAACAGCATTTTAGTTTAATGATGGTGGGAGAGATCGACGTCGATTGTAACAAAAATGAAATGAGTTTGGAGTCTAAAACGTTTGAATTTTAGTATTTTCCTGTGTATTGTAACTGAGTCAAATCTAAATTTAGTCCAAAAGTTAGACCAACAAGTTAGTCCAACAAAAATACAGTGATAAAGAAAAAATAAATTTAACTAGTTTCAAGTGACACTAGACCGGATGAAATGTAACTCATCAGGGGCAGTTGTAACAGGATGTATCTAATGATATTTAATTTTAAAATAGAGTAAAGTGAGAATAAAGATATAATCTAAAACGAAAGTTAATTACCAATACATAATAAAAATTGCAATGGTGGGATAAAATGTAAATTTAAAATATAGAAATATAGTAAAACATCTGGCGTTAAAATAAGAAGGGTAGATATTTTTCTTAGGAATCTGTAGATTACGTAAATCTTTATGTGGAGGTCAGTTTCTCAGCAGTAATAATGTGTTTCTCAGAATATTAATCTGAAGTTAATTAACATATTTTAGATAGAAAAATAGTCCAGTTATAGGTAATTCGTTTTTTTAAACTACAATTAAACTCTTGTACTTGTTATTAATTTTTAAAGCACTGTGTTTAGTTTGTGAATCTCATTACTAACGGCTTCTGACCTTGGCCTAGTTTAGGTGAATTATTTACATTGTAGTATCAATCCACCTTAGGTGATATAACAAAAGGGCGCTAAGCGAGCAAAAAACAAATTATCAACAATAATTTGGCAAAATGAGAATGGCTGAATATATAACCACTATTTCATGCAGTACTTTCTGCGCGAACAATTTGTTTTTCAGTACTGTGTTGGTTTTCACCATTTTCAGTTGTTTTGTAAATCGGCGCTGAAAAGGTGATGTACTGAAGTAGAGTGTTCTAGTCATCTGAGTTGACAAAAATCTAAATAATGGAGAAATTGAATGTTTGACATACATATCACAATTGAAACCATTAGAAGTTTAATTCAATTAGTTTGTAAGACAACAAACAAAATCAAAGAATATTTTTGAGAAAATCTACCACTAATTTACAAATATTGATCTAATGACTAATGTTGAGAGAGTTTTAAGAAGAATTAAAAGAACATGTTTTTTTCTCCTAAACATTACGTTAATCATTATCAAAATGAAAAAAATTTTTCTCGACTTTTTGAAAAAAAAACTTCGAAAATCGATCTTATAAATGCGTCTATAAAATCAGCTTTGCATTTAATGCAACTAAATAAAGACTAGTAAAGTAGTCGTATCAGAAACGACTAGATTTTGTTTTCTGATTTTTTTTTAATCAAATGATATCTAATGTAAAATTGTGGGAAAAGAAAAATTCTTCTATTTCATTTTGATAATGGTTACATAATGTTTAAGAGAAATAAAACTGTTCCTTTAAATATTTCCAAAACTCGTCAATTTACAGGTTTAGTGTGGGTACATTGAGCTGTAAAAATTTCTCTCAACATTAGTTTTTTCATCAATAATTGTAAATAGCCGTAGATTTTCTAAAATTTGTTTCCAAATTAATGTCAAGGATGAAAAAATATTTTTTTTATTCGAAAACCGCGATAGGTCCTTGTAGAGAGGTTTATTCAAGTTTTCACGCCCTTAAATTTACTGTCCTTAGTTACTGAGATATTGATGGTCAAAGAAAAGGATCCTTTTTCATTCAAAGCCGGTTATTTTAACAAAATATTGACGTACAGAGACAAAAAAAACAAACTAAAGCTGAATAATCAAGCTAACTAGCCTATGCATCAGTTCAAGTGAAAACATTTTCCTGAGCCCATGGACCCTTAAAAATAAATAAAAAAATTTGGAAATCTCGCTCGAAAAATTTTTTTGTTAACAGATCTTGAAACTAGAAACTAGTAGTTTCAAACTGCTTTTTTTTTTATTTCGATAGGACCATTTCCTGTCAGCTTGTCAAAAATCACTCTTAAATTTCTGATTTTTTTTGTTCCCTTATTTTTTTTCTAATAGTGTATTTGCATTCGCCGTAAAAATGTGCGTATGAGATTGTAAATAATTTTACATTCTGTTACGGTGGTACCAGATTACTTACAAAAGTTTTTGAATTATTCAAAAAACGTGATATGTTAAGATTGTATTTTCGTATAATTTTGGAGATATTTATTTCAATTAAAAAAAAATTGTTGGAAAGTGTATTGACATTTAACATTAAGCAGTCTAATTGTTTGAATAACAACCAGAAATTATTATATCTATTTTTATAATTATGTCGTTAAAATTAATCTAGTTTTTTAGTTTAGTGTAGTTTAGTTGTTTGAATAATAACCAGAAATTGGAGAACTGAACAATTTCTTAAACGTGACTGAACAAAAGTGGGTAATTAACAAAAAACGTAATTAGAAACAAATTTACCAGAAGCATAATAATCTTAAATTTATTTTTCAAAATATCGAGCTCATTGATTTATACAATACTTTAAGCATTTTAGCAGTTTTCAAAATTGAACTCCATAGCAGTAATGGAACTAAGCTTAAGAATGAAAACCGCTTAAAGTTCTTATACTTATGTTTCACAGTTTACGAGTAGCCGCTTAACCTTTCTCTTTCACATTGTCAAATATCTTGGTGTTGGTTCTAAATACGAAAAGATTTTATATCTCACATTACTGCTCCCCTTATTGTGTGGCATATATTATAAGACATCTCATATAATAGAGTTGTGAGATACAAAGACTTTTATAAGTTTTCAAAAAATAGTTGTACCCATATTGGTTGACCCACTCCAAAATAAAATCAAAATAACTGATATATACCCATAGCATGCAATTAAAAATTTCTGAAATTGTATAAATTTAATAGTTCTTATTCACCTATTTTAGATAAATGATGAAAAATATGTTACAATTAGTGATTTCTTCTTATTGCACTAATTTTGATTACAGCTGACGACTGCCAAATGTTTGTTTCAACTGACACCCTGTTTCAACCGATATCGGTCTCCCATGTATTTGCTGTTATTTACAAAAATTAATTTAGAATCAAGGAAAGGTGACGGACGAGCATAATTACTATAAGAAAATACTTACTTACCAGCCCAAGTTTCAATAGTTTTAAATATAAACTCATCTATCTCCTTCTCTGTTAGCTTTTTGGCTAACGCAAGAGCTACATCTACAGCGAATACCCGTACAGAATCCTGCAACAATACTGACTTTGACAAATATTTCGAAAATGAAGAAAGGGTTACCCAAACTATTAATTTTTTCAAGTAATTTTCTGTCATTTTATTATTAACATATTTAAACTACAGTGAAAATAAAGTGAATTATCTTACCATAGCGTCATTGACAATGTTATCGAAGACGGGAATAAATTCGTTCTTCACAGTGTCTTTGTCCATAATGTCGATGAGTTCTAGTAAATTAATTGCAGCAACTTTTCGCACTATAGGAGAATCATCTTGGATCAGCATCCGGAAACTATTTCTCAATTCGAATTTTTTTTCATCGCTTACCTTAGAGTAGATTGTCTAAAAAAGAATTTAAATTACATTACATTCAGTCTTTACTTTAATTAAACAAACATTTCGTAAATGTATATCGATAGAATATAATTTTAAATACATATACAGGGATGGCTAGAAGTACGGAATAAAATTCATATCTTTTGAATGAGTTATTTTTTTTAAACACCGAAACACGTTAACTGATTTTGATTTTTTCCCATCTTTCGGTTATATAATAATTAATTTTTCTTCAACCCCCTAACCCTTAGCTACCCCTACTTTTTTTTCAAATGGAAACATAAGGCATGAGGGGGCTCGTTGAAAAGCTTATAGAAAACCGAATCCAGCCATACCAAATAAACAAGTTTTATTTTTTCAATAGCAAGGTTTTTAGGGTTGTATAAAACACCTACTTAACAAGTGAAATAAAATTTAATTATCTTCAGTGTTATCCTCCATGAATTTGCACAGAATAAAATAAATCTTTTTTGCGTTAGCAGTGATAGG